ATATATATATAAGTACTGGGTGAGTTTACGAGACCAGGAGGTGGGTTTAGATAATTTGATTTTAATTTAGGTAATTAAAAAAGTGAGCTTTGATTGATTAAGGTTTAGATTCGAAATTAGTTGGTCCTACTAAAGTGGGTCCTATTTAGGAAAATTTTGCTTATGATCCTACGTTGTAAATGTAATCTTTGCAAGAGATAATTATTTCCTAGAATCAAATTTCCGAAAATAAATAAATACTTGCGTAAGACCAAGTATTTGTATTACTCTTAGCTTCGCAAGCTTTAGTTTATATTTTTGGTAATTTTCATTCTTTAAATAAGTTGAATAGATTACGAATTTGGAAGTTTTTGCTTATAATACACCTTTATTTTATGTCATCTTTAATCGCTGAGCAACTTGAACTAGAATTATGGAATATGGATGTAGTTTGACATGGTTTTGAGGTGCGAGAAATGATGATATGCTTATGACAGACATGGAAGCAGAAATGTCATTGACTAGCAAAACCGCTCCGCCCAAGCACAAGTATCGTAGAAGTGCCGTAAAATGCTTTGGAGTCGATTTGACCCCGGATAATATCGCTGTAGCAATGGTGTATTTCGTCCAAGGTGTTTTAGGCCTCTCGAGGCTTGCTGTTAGTTTTTACTTGAAAGATGATTTGCACTTGGATCCTGCAGAGGTATGCAAGCATTGCATTTACAGTTCTGTTGGTTGTCATGGAGATTTACTCCCATTTTACGCTAGATTTTCCTTTCTTGATGTAAAGTGAGCAATTATAATCTTCTTAGTCCTTTTACCTCTCTCTCTTTTTGGATTAATTTACTATACCTCTTCATGTAGCTGTTAAAAAGGAATTAGAAATCCATCTTGAGGTTTTTTTTCTCAGAAAGTAAAACTTCGTTTTCCTCCTCAGTTCATCCCAAAATATCCTTCCGCGTATATGTTTATATCTTGAGGACTGATATATTATTCCTGGTTGACTAGACAGCTGTGATAACTGGCTTTTCTGCACTACCATGGCTCGTTAAGCCAGTATATGGATTTATTAGGTGAGACCTAGTATCTGATTTCAATTTCCATCTTATTATTAAAGAACTATAACGAATCTTTTATTTCATTATTTTTGAGGATATATATATTATTATTTTTTTCTTTTTTTGAAGTGATTCTGTCCCACTATTTGGCTATCGAAGAAGGTCATACTTGATTTTATCAGGCCTTCTTGGTGCACTTTCATGGAGTTTGATGGCAAGTCTTGTTGACGGCAAATATAGTGCTGCTTTCTGCATACTTCTTGGGTCTCTTTCTGTTGCATTCTCTGATGTTGTAAGTATCTGCTACTTTGCAACTTGTTTATTACTTTATTACAGAAATGTTTAGTGTTCAATTATCATCATTAAGGTTTCTTTAATAGAGGCTGTATTTTTCTTATGTGCTTAACTTGGTTTTGCTTAATCTCTCTCTCTGTTGTTTTTTTTTTTTTTTTTTTTGGGGAACATATTAGTTTATGCTATGAATTTTACTTGTTCCAATGTTTTAATGAGTTTCTCGACAACTTATCTGTTAATTTGAGGGTTGCTGCAAATAGAATTAGCTTAGTGCTAATGGATTCACCTTTGATAACCTTGTATTCTACAGGTCACCTTTTGAGATAGTTAATTTCTTACGTTTTTCCTTGCAGTTTGAAATGATTCGACTGCTAGCTTTGACGTTTACTTCTGTGACCTTGTCCTGTTCAATTCCATAGTGCACCTTACAAAATAATAATAAATTATAGCATTGTGTAGGTTGTTGATTCTATGGTTGTAGAGAGGGCTCGTGGTGAGTCACAAAGCGTGTCAGGATCTCTTCAATCATTATGTTGGGGATCGTCAGCTTTTGGTGGAATTGTGAGTTCGTATTTTAGTGGCTCCCTGGTAGATGCTTATGGTGTAAGGTATATATGCTGGTTCTTGTACTAAATATTCCTAAGCTGACGTTTATTAAGGAACCTCATAAGATTTTGTTCCTAATGTTTCAGGTTTGTTTTTGGTGTCACGGCGTTGCTACCGTTGCTTACATCTGCAGTTGCCGTGCTTGTAACTGAACAACGTGTGCTAGGTCCAGCAAGGGGGCAAATCCCTAACTTGGTCGGTCCAACCTTTCTAGAAAGTTCAAAACAGAACATTATTCAATTGTGGGATGCTGTCAGACAGCCCACCGTATTACTTCCCACAATATTTCTTTTCCTCTGGCAGGCAACACCTCAGTCAGACTCTGCCATGTTCTACTTCACGTATGCCCTTTTCTAAATCACCTCGATCAAAATCACCTCGATCATTAGATTTCTTAATGCTGCATGTGTTTGGACTTTTGTTTTCCTTATTTTACTTAAATTATTGTTGGCGTGTGCTTTGACATCTGACAATAATGCTTTTTTTCCCAGCACAAACAAGCTTGCTTTCACCCCGGAATTTCTAGGTCGTGTCAAGCTCGTTACTTCAGTGGCATCACTACTTGGTGTTGGACTCTATAATGGTTTTTTGAAAAATGTTCCGTTGAAGAAGATTTTTCTTGCAACGACAATCATTGGTTCAGCTCTGGGAATGACTCAGGTTTGTGATAAATTTAGTTTGGTTTAGATATCGACGATTTTTCTACAGCATGTCTATGTTTAATGGAAGTTGTTACTGTTACTTTAGTTAATATTCTCTTGGTTTTTGGCTCAGGTTTTCCTTGTAACTGGATTAAACAGAAGATTAGGCATAAGTGATGAGTGGTTTGCAATTGGGGATTCTTTGATTCTTACAGTTCTTGGTCAGGTAAACTTTTGCTAGAATTTTGTTGGTATTGTTAATAACTTTGATGTTGTTTATTCTATAAAATTTTGTGTTTCATTTCCCATCTTGTATGCGCGTTAATTATGGAAGCAGAAGTTGCAAAACATAATGGTCTATAATTGGCATCTAATTGGAAGGAAGCTCTTTTATCATTCCCGGGTCGATAAAAAGAGAGTTCCTTTTAAGTTGAATTACTTGAGTAGGCCCTGTTTGGAGATTGTTTGAAGTATTTTTATTAGCAAAAGAAAGAAAATGGAAATTGCATATAGACGTAGATTAGATTAATGAGATGACCTGTTCTTATTGACGCGCATGCCTTATACCATACAAAATATGCCAATCTGCAAGTACCCATATGCACAAGTTAAGCTATGATCTTCATCATACTTTTCATTCAATTATACTGCTCCATTTGCTTGTTTTGCATGAAAAAGATCTTACTAGTGATTGTTGTGGAATACTAAAACTAGTTCTATAAATATCTCAGGCTTCTTTCATGCCGGTTCTCGTATTAGCAGCGAAATTATGTCCGGAAGGGATGGAAGCAACACTCTTTGCAACTCTCATGTCCATATCCAACGGAGGGAGTGTTCTTGGGGGGTTGATAGGTGCTGGTCTGACCCAGCTCTTTGGTGTCACCAAAGACACATTTGATAACTTAGCCTTTTTGATAATCCTGTGTAACCTCACCTCACTTTTGCCTTTACCACTTCTCGGCCTTCTCCCGGATGATGGTCCTGATTCCAATTTGGAGGAAAATGCCGACATTGAGATGAAGTCAAATTGATTTCCTCGTGTGACCTTTTCCTCATCATGATAATTTAAGACGCATGGCATCCATCGTTTTTATGATTTGCCTTTGAGGCTGTAGCTGGTAGAGACAGAGAGAGCCCTGTAAATATTACAACACGGCAGGCAAAATAACTTCTCTTATTTTCTCCTCCTCATTGTTGTAGCATAATCTGTTGTTGAATTGTGAAATTTGTTCATTTTATGCCAAATCAGTGATTCAGTGCAACACCTGATGGTGAACTAATTATCAGTTTCGATTTTCTACTGAAAGAAAGTGAGATTACACAATGCCAAAAAAAAAAAAAAAATGCAAAAAAAATGGAGAAAAAGGAGGTGCCAGGGTAGAAAAATGGAATAACTAAATAAGAATGATTTATATAGACTTAAAAGCCAAGGAATAAAAGGACTATTCTACCTTACTAATAAAATAGTATAAATAATAAAACCCCATTTGGTTTGCTGGTTGAAATTTTGGTGATTTGAATGTTTTGATTAAAAAAATTTTAAACTGTGATTTAAATTATAGTTCAAATTGACTTTTGGATGTGCTGTTAAAATTTTCATCTGAATAGGGAATAAAATCAAATTTGTATTTAGTAGGTGTGAAAAGCATACATAATGGGCATCTTTTTACCGTTAAAAAATAGTTTGAATGATTGAATTTAAGGGGAGAGTTAAACTCTAACTCAGACAGTTTAACAAAGTTCAAACGGAGAATATAATTCGGATTGCGTGCTTACTATATACAGTTTAAATTGTTCTCATTGTTTAAACTGAATTAAACTGAACTAAACCAGTAAAATAAACGGGGGCTTAAACATTTCCTCTCAAACCGGTTGCAAAAAGTGTTAAGAGTTTGATAACTAAAAAAGGGAATATTAAGGGCCTATTTGGTTTATGAGTTTAAACAAATTATTTTGATTATGTATTAAAAATTTAGGAGAGAATCCATTTGTGAGACCTTTTTAAATTCAATTTTTTTAAGAGAAAATACTGTAGCAGAATCAAAATTATGAGTTGAAATTTAGAAACTAAACGCCTAAATGGTGTGATTTTGTAAACAAAATCGCAATCTACATGAAATTTAAAAAAAAAAGTAATAGTGCCATGTTGATAATGTCTCAAGCATATTGGTTTGTTCATGAAAGACTCAATTATGGCACTATAAATAACACTATTGTAATAACAATATATAAGAGTAAGAAGAGAGAGAAATATTCATTTATGCAAACCAGTGGTCATAGATGTTATTTATGCAATTTAGGGCCCGTTTGTTTTATAGACTCAAATTTGAGTTATTAATTCTGCTACAGTATTTATCTCTTACAAAAAAATTTAAATTAAAAATCATGATTTGAATGTGTTGGGTAAAAATATTTATTAATATTAAAATAATATTTCACACACAGCATAATTTCACATATACTAGGATTTAATTAGCATAGGAGTTTATTATTTTTAGTTCGACCCATTCAATATTATAAGAATAACCTCTTAATTACAATACCTTGATACAAGGAAAAACCTTTTTATTTCAATTAAAACAGTAAATACTATTTTTTGTGAATTTGAGAAATTTTAGTTGATTTAAAATTGTGGCTGAACTCAATAAATTTTGTCGAGTTGCCTACATACCCCGTTGAGAGATCAAGCCACTTGTAGTTTGAATTTTAGGTTAGAAAATTTTAGATAATTCCTCGGTGTATGACCTTATGAGGAATTTATGTACTTTGATATTTGATTTAGTTTAGTTTTGATTTTGTCTTTTATGAGGATTTTTAGGATTGAATTTGATCTTGAAACTGTACCTAAATTTTAGGTTGCCTACGTATCCGATAGGGAAACAAGTCAATTGTAGTTCTTGAATTTGAATTTAGATTTTGTTGAATTCCCCGATATATGACCATAGGAGGAATTTAAAGATGTTTTAAAATTTGATTTGGAATTTTACTTTAGAATTTGGATTTGAAAGTTATATTTGGATAATTCATCGGTATATGACCTTATGGGGAATTAAAAGGTATTTTAAAATTTGATTTGGAATTTTACTTTAGAATTTAAATTTGAAAGTTATATTTGGATAATTTCCCAGTATATGACCTTATGGGGAATTAAAAGGATCCTTTTTGAATTTGGTGTTGAGAGAGATTTTTTTTTTTTTTGAATTTAGGATTTGAAAATTGTATTTAATCACTATATGGTTTTATGAGACAATGAACTCATCTTTTTGAACTAAGGGACAATAAAATGGCTCAATTTGTGCATTTTGAATTTTTGGGTATTTAATATTCCGAATTTCTTTGAAATTCATTATCTTTCTCCCCCTTTTTTTTTAATTTTAAAATTCAAAATCAAATCCGCCGTTTGAATTGGATTTGTTATGATTTAATTTGTTTTGATTTGATTTATTTTAACTGATCTTCTAATCTCGAAAGAATTAAAATCCTTTTTTGCTTCACGTGGTTGACATACATACATATATATGATCTTCTAATCTCGAAAGAATTAAAATCCTTTTTTGCTTCACGTGG